GGCAGCCGCGCTTGCTGCTTGGCCGCCAGGTGGGGAACTACAAGCGCACGGTGAAGCGCATCGATGACGGCCACCGCCTGTGCAACGACCTGATGAACTGCGTGCAGGAGCGCGCCAAGATCGAGAAGGCGTATGCGCAGCAGCTCACCGACTGGGCCAAGCGCTGGCGCCAGCTCATCGAGAAAGGTGATCCCCCTTGCGCGACCCTCCAGGCCCTAAGCGGCCTGGGTCCCCGGAGCGATCCCAGCCATCTGGCAGCGCCCTGCCTGCTCTCATAGCCACAGGGCCTTTTCAGGAGCTGTTCGCGCCTAGACCAGACCAGACCTCCCCATTCAACTCAACTTGGTACAACTTTAGGTTGGATTAAAAACAAAGAGCAAAACAGAAAACCCCTTTTTACTTTTGAATAATTTAAACTTTGAGAAAAGCCTCACTGGGAGTCCAGCAATCTTCTCCATACCCCTCACCCAGATTCACGGGATGGTGACATTTCACCAGCTTTGTTTTCTCACTGCCTCTCTATTCATATGCATATTTTCCTGAACCATTTCAGAGTAAGTTGGAGCCATTATCCCCCCTTCACCCCTAAACACTGCATGTATCTTCTAAGAACAAGGACATTTGCTTATGTAACCACAGTTCAGCTATCAAATTCAGGACATATAATATGGCCCATCAGCTAATTATGCCAATGGTTCGTGCTAGTCAGGGATCCAATCCAAAATCACACACTGCATCTAGTTGTCCTGACTCTAGATTCCTGTAATCTAGAACAGTTTTGACTTGAGGTTTACATATATTTGTTAATGTTTTTCTCTTTCGCTAGACTCTCAACCCCATGAGGGCAGGGGCTGGGCCTGTACCGCCTGGCACAGAGTTGGTGCCAGTACACAGACTAATGAATGTGGAATGACTGGTCCCCAGAGGCCTTCTGGCATGTCACCAGCTGGTTCTTCGGTTTTTTGTTTTGTTTTGGCAGCTGGCTGATGTAGGGATCCAAACCCTTGACCTTGGTGTTATCAGTACCACATGGTTCTTCAGTTTTACATTTAGCTAGCATTCTGGGAGCGCCTACTGTGTCCTGGTGCTGTGCTAGGCTGTGAGAGCTCACAGGGTCCATGCTGCCCCTGTGGGGCTCACAAGCTGACGGGGAAGATCAAGAGTAGGTACAGAGGAAGGTGCTGCAGAAGGAATCCAGTGGGGGCTGCAGGGCGAGGTGTGTGAGGACAGAGCAGTCAGAGAAGTCTTCCTGGAGGTGGTGGCTGTACTTGGGCCCTAGAGGATGGATAGGGAGGGCAGAGGAGGGCATTTCTGTTGCTTTGGGAAGGAAGGGGAAAGCCTCAGGGAAAGGAGGCATGACGGGGGCCTCTGGTCAGGGGAGGATGAGTTATGGGGACCCACTGCCATCCCTCAGGCCCACAGTATGGCAGCCTGGAACGGGCCTGGGGTGCCATCATGACGGAGGCAGACAAGGTGAGCGAACTGCACCAGGAGGTGAAGAACAACCTGCTGAATGAGGACCTGGAGAAGGTCAAGAACTGGCAGAAGGACGCCTATCACAAGCAGATCATGGGTGGCTTCAAGGAGACCAAGGAGGCTGAAGATGGCTTCCGCAAGGCCCAGAAGCCCTGGGCCAAGAAGATGAAGGAGGTGCCTAGGGGGTGGCTGCCATAGATAGGGCAGGGTGGGTGGCCAAGCTCAGGGGGACAGTCTGATCAGAGGGTGCTGATGACAGGGAGAGGTCTCCAGATGGGGTGGGCAGTGCACTACTCTCCAGGATTGTGCCCACAGGGGAGCAGCACTGCCTTCCAGAAAGAAATATCCACAAGTAGGCAGACAGTGCCCTGTGGGTAAAGAGACCCATGGGCAAAAAAGGGGCACTGTCCCCAGGAAAGACACCAGAGAGGCAGGTGGGATTGACAGATGGGGTGGGCACTGCACTGCCTAACAAGAGGGTACCTGCAGGGGTGGCAGGGAGTGCCATGCAGGGAAACATCCACAGATGGAGGGGCACTTCCCCCAAATCCCTTCTGCCTCTTCAGAGTGTGTGCTCACAGCTCCCAGGGAGTGGGCAGCGGGGAGGAGTTGAGGAGCGACCGTTTGTTCCTGCTCACAAGTAGAAGTCCTGTCCCCCTGCTCCCCCTCCCCACAGCTGGAGGCAGCCAAGAAGGCCTACCATTTGGCCTGCAAAGAGGAGAAGCTGGCCATGACACGGGAGATGAACAGTAAGACGGAGCAGTCGGTCACACCCGAGCAGCAGAAGAAGCTGCAGGACAAAGTGGACAAGTGCAAGCAGGATGTGCAGAAGGTGCTGGCCGGGCTGGGGACGGGGTGGAAGGGTTCTGGGGGCCCCTTGGAGTGGGTGGTGGCTGGGAGCTGCAGAGCTGGCCGGGTGGGTCTCACCCACCTTCCACCTGGTGCCCATAGACACAGGAGAAGTACGAGAAGGTGCTGGAAGATGTGGGCAAGACCACACCCCAGTACATGGAGAGCATGGAGCAGGTCTTTGAACAGTGCCAGCAATTTGAGGAAAAGCGGCTGGTCTTCCTCAAGGAGGTGCTGCTGGACATCAAACGTCACCTCAACCTTGCTGAGAATAGCAGGTACCGGGGCATGAAGTGCATGGGCACAGCCAGCAGAGGGCATGTGCAGGGCATTCCAGGCCCTACTTTACAGTAACGAAAAGAGGAGGGCAGAGCTGTGGGGATCTAGAGGGAAGAGGCTCCAAATACAGTGGCTTCCTGGGTGCAAGCTGACACATGCTGGGTACCCAAGAAACATGCTTGGAGGGATGGGTGAGTGCCTAAGGTGGGATGGGGTGGAGAACGGAGCCCACTGGCCATGCCTGGGGCTGCCCTTGGAAAGCCCACGTGATTCATAGCTGGGGAGCATGCCCAGTGTCCTGCTCCCTTGAATGGGCTGTGACTCTCACTGAGGATAGGAAGGGGCCATGGTGAATCTGTGCCCTTCACCTCCCCCATCTCCCCTGTGCACAGCTACATCCATGTGTACCGTGAGCTGGAGCAGGCCATCCGGGGGGCCGATGCCCAGGATGACCTCAGATGGTTCCGCAGCACCAGTGGCCCTGGCATGCCCATGAACTGGCCCCAGTTTGAGGTGAGGGGCTGTGGGGATGGGGAAGGGGAGCCTTAAAAGTCTGGAAGGGGCTTCTGGGTGCATCCCCCCAGCCTGACTGCTGCACTGGCCCCCACCAGGAATGGAACCCAGACCTCCCTCACACCACTGCCAAGAAGGAGAAACAGCCCAAGAAAGCAGAGGGTGTGACATTGACTAATGCCACTGGGGCAGTAGAGTCTACATCCCAGGCTGGGGACCGTGGCAGGTGAGTGCCTTGCATGGAGCTTCCTGGGGGCCAGAGGGGCCTACACACTAGGGCAGCTGAGTTTTGCCTCAGGAGACATGAAATGATCCAGACTGTAGTAACCATGTTCCTTCTACAGCAGCTACCCTGTGTCAGGCACTTTCCTAAGCATTTTCCATATACTAATTCATTCAAGCCTCCCGTCACTCTGGGCAGTGTGTAAATATTCCCATTTTACAGATGGAGAAACTGGAACCCAGAAAGGTTAAGTGACTTGCCCAAGATCATGTAGCTTGTCAGTAAACTTGATGCCTGGGAGGTCTGTCACCAGCATCCTCGCTCTTAACAATGAGGTGGCATTGCCCATCTCAGAAGGGTCACGTGTTCTCAGGAGTCCTCTTCAGCCCCCTCCCTCACGAGCTGAATAATATTGCAAATGGCCCTGCCTCACATCTGTTTAAGGAAACTTCACGAGGGTCACTGGCTCAGGACTCCCTCCTGTGCGGCCAATTCCTGCTCCAGCCTCGGTAGAATTTGGGGCCAGAGCTCTGCTTAGGAGGAGGGGCAGCCCTAAACCCGAGGCGGGGGGCCGTTCAAGCTGGGTCCTCCCTCTGCCTCTCAGCGTTAGCAGCTACGACAGAGGCCAGCCCTATGCCACTGAGTGGTCCGACGACGAAAGCGGGAACCCCTTCGGGGGCAGTGAGACCAACGGGGGTGCCAACCCCTTCGAGGATGATGCCAAGGGAGTGCGCGTGCGGGCGCTCTACGACTACGATGGCCAAGAGCAGGACGAGCTCAGCTTCAAGGCCGGTAGGGAGGGCCGGGCCCTGAGGACAGAGCTGCAAGGATGGGGGCGTGGCCAAGACCGGAGCTGGCCTGGGGGCGTGGTCTGGACCTGTGAATAGGGTGGAGGCGGGGCCTGGGCTTCGGGAGCGGGACGGAAACCCAGATTAGGTGATGGCTGCGATAGGTCAGGGCCTCTGTGCCAGGGGCAGCAGGTGGAAGTCGGGGTAGGACTGGGGCTGGTCTTCAGGGGCGGGGCCCGTGGCCAGAATCTAAGACTAAGTAAACAAGTTGGAGCATTGGGGCTGTCATGGGGAGGGGGGCATTGGAGAGCTCACCCAGCAGTGAGTGTGTGGAGGAGGGGCTGCCCTCTCTCTGAGCTCCTGCCAACGGGCTCCTCCCTGTGTCCGCCTTCCCAGGAGACGAGCTCACCAAGCTGGGCGAGGAGGATGAGCAGGGCTGGTGCCGCGGGCGGCTGGACAGCGGGCAGCTGGGCCTCTATCCCGCCAACTACGTGGAGGCCATCTAGCTGCCGGGCTGCCTCCACGTCCCCTCACTCTGCCCAGCCCCTCCCCTTCCGTCCCACTCTCCTCTCCTTCCCGTCGCCATAGAGTTCCAGACATATTTTCCGATCAAGCTTTTATTTTTTTAAAAGTCAAAACAGAACAAAACAGAAAATACAAAGAGACAGAGCATTTGCAGGGCCACCTGGAGGCCAGGGTGGTGGGGCTTGAGGTGATGGCCCTAGGGTAGGTGAAGGTCTTAGGACTTAGCCCAACATCACAACACCCGCTCTTTAGATTCCACCAAAGAGTCTCCTGAGCCCTGAGAGATGTCTCCTGGACCCTTCTTTCCTGCCCTACTCCCCCCATTCCACCCCACCCCAGGCTGCCAGCACCTGCCCCTGTTCTTTGGGCCTGGTTTCCTAACATCACCTTCCTCCCCTACCCTGTTCCCTTTCTACCAGCACCCTACTCTCAAAGGCCTCCCCTCCAGACTCCAAGAAGGGAGGCCTCCCAGTCTTTAGTCTTCCACTCTGCCCTGGGGAGCACCTTTCTGCTCCTAGCTCCATCTCTCAGAACCGATGGGGCTGAGGAGGAATGGTCACCCTTCTCCCCCATAGAGGTTTCCAGGGGTCTCTAGACATGAAGGAACTGGGGTACAAGAGGGTGAGCGAAGAGCAAGCAGACCCTTGGCCCAGGCCAGCCTGCCCATCCAGGCCCATCTGAGGGACCAAGATGCTGTTTGGGCCCTTCTCTCCAGCTCTTAGCACTTTGGGCTTAGGCTCTTCCTCAGAGCCGTATGCCCTCAGTAACTTGCAGAGACCCCGCCCCCTCTCATAAGTTCCTCTGGCATGGGGTGGGGGCTCCAAAACCCAGGGCAAAGCCAGCAACAGTAGCAGCCTCCTCCCATTTCCTGGGGAGGAGGGCATCTTGCCCACACACCCACCTCCATGTCCATCCAAAACTATAGAATCACTGGGCTCAACACCAGCCTCCATGAGACCAAGCCTTGTGCCCACAAGGCTCTTGGCCTAACCATCCTTCTGTCCCCTTCCCTGGCCTACCTGGGGAGACATTGGGACTCATGGGAGCTTCCAGCCTGGGACCATCAGGGAAAGCCTGCAGCCAAGTTTGGCAGGAAGGAGGAGCCCTGGCCCTCAGAAGCAGGATGGTCACCTCACCATGTCTTTCTTCCTTGTCCCACCAGCACCTAGCATAGTACTCCCCCTGCTGGCAGCCTCTCCATCTCTCCAAAACTGGATCACAGTTAAAGGACTTTTGGTGGTGGTGG